CAAAGTAAAACACGCCTTGGTAAAAACTTGGCCAATCACCAAAGTTGTCATAACTGACTTTTAGAATAAGATATCGTTCGTTTACAAATAAAATGTGATCAGTTAAAGCCATGCCACACCGAGCTAGCTCCCGCGGTGGTCGCGAAGTTAAATCTCTCACTATGTTAACAAAAGGGTAAGGCCCCGTTTATGCACCAAGAGCGGGAGCGGTAGCGGTTGACCTCCCGCTGCGGTTTCTAATTTGCCCGCTGTGTAGTTAGAAATCGCAGCGGTTGCCTGGAATAGAGCGGTTTTCAACTACATTGAGTCAAATGGGACCGTTTATGCACGGCGGGAGCGGGAGCGGTTGCAGCCAGGGTTGCCAACTTGACCCACGCCACAGAAAACGTACTACTATACCCAGAATGCCAACCGCATGCTAAAAAGCATTAAGCGGTTTGAGAGAGCTTTGCCTGTCAATCCGTAGGCAGCGCCACCAGCGTTGCTATGCTTATTACACTTTTCCCTCCTCATCGTCTACCGCACCTTCTCTTCTTCGCAGTTGATCCGAATGTTTTCTCTTTATCACTCCACCACACATGACTTCATAAGAGTATAATCCATTGCGTTTGACTATTGTTCCTGCTATCCAACCAGGGTTATTCTCCTTTTTGCATGGCAACGCTGGTGGCGCTGCCTACGGATTGACAGGCAAAGCTCTCTCATACCGCTTAATGATTTTTACCATGCGGTTGGCATTCTGGGTTATAGTAGTACGTTTTCTGTGCCCAAGCGCACGTGCACTTAGGACAAATAGTTGAGTTAATTATTTGGCAGAGTTTGAGTTGGCAAGACTGTGTCCCCCTTCCATTCTCCTTTGACCAACCTCTACCGCTATCGCTTGCACAATTTTGACAAAATTTTCACAGCGGAAGCGGGTCCGCTATCGCCCCGCTCCCGCTCTTGGTGCATAAACGGGGCCTAAGGTCGCACAGCGCAATCGCGTGCCGCGGGCATGCGGTGGTGTCCGCCACGACCGCTTACTGTCTTGTTGGGTCGCCGGAATTTTATCCTCTGGAATTTACCCCCTGGGCAAAGCTGAAGGCACTATGACGTAGTAACCTGAGTGCTCAAAAGATTGTTCGCGGGCGGAATTTTACCCCCACGGATTTGGAAGTCTAATGAAAATAGACAGAGCGTGTTTAATTAGACTAGCAATAAAAACCGGAATTTTACCCCCTGTCCATATAACTAGCGTTTAGACAACTGAAGATGTACGGGTCGGGCCAGATTTTTACCCCCGAAATTTTACCTCCAGATTTTTACCCCCCGGAATTTTACCTCCTGGCTGGATATAGAAATTATTAAGAATGATTTATTTTTTATATTTAATTGTAAACATTTTATTATTATGTAGCCTATCTTAATTTATTTATTATTTAATATCAACTAAGTAATCGGAATTCGCTGTTTAATTTTGTTAATTTTTGCGTTTGGGACCAACTGGTGGTTAATAACCTAAAATAAACTGAGTGACTCATTTAAATGATAATTGGGTGAAAATTTACGATTTCATTGTACCGCCGTGAAACACAATGTATTTCGTTTCTGGAGCACAATAACCCAAAACAAAAACATTGTTTTACCACGGTTGTATAACAAATCGTTAAAGAAATCTTCGAATCAATATTACAATTCAGATGTTTGTTTATACGTCACATAAACCAACAGTTGGCTTCAAAGATCGAATCCTGATACTCGAATCTCAAAATTAAAATTAAAAACCAGGCTACTTAATAAAAAAATGTTTACTATTAAATTAACACTGAATGAATTTAATGAACCATTCTCACTAATTTTTATATCTGGCCAGGGGGTAAAATTCCGGGGGTAAAAATCCGGGCCATACATTTTGAGCTGACCTCATGAAGGGGGTAAAAGTCCGGGGGTAAAGTTCCGGCCCGTACACTCTAGGTTTTTATAATTTAATTTGATGTGTTCTGATTAAATTCACAACCGCGAAAATATACGTTTAATTCCGCGTTTAATCCATCGAACTGATGTGGCGAAACTCAAAAGTTCGCAGCCGGAATTTTACCCCCTGGTTTGTGACGTCACGTTTGCCCAGGAGGTACAATTCCAGGGGGATAAAAATCCGCTACCCCGTCTTGCTGAGCGATCTTTTGAGACTGCTGCGGTAGTGTGAGTGTCGTGGTCGTCTACGTCGAACGGCCAAGCCTCCCAGTGCCATCGTCATATCCCTCGTCGAACTCCTCATGGGCGAACTGATCAGAACTTTTTCTCGTGTGGGCAAATAGCGCGCCACGTGCGACTACTTACTTGACGCAAAAAATAAAATATGTAAAATAATAGCATCTAGAATAAGAGAAACTGGCAAAATACCTTATGACTCCAAACAGTTAGCGTCGTATCAATAGGGTAGCTACTAGCTGGTGAACGAACAACAACAACTGAAACTGACTGCGATTAAGCTTCTCTTTCTCCCTCCAGCCATTCTCCGCTACCGCCCCTAGCGGCGGGGTAGCAAGGCAGCGCCCTCCCCTCTCCTAAGATGGCAAACCAGCGACCAAAGAATAATATTATTCGGCAAACCCATAGTTCCATATAACTCCGCTAGTCCGCTTCCTCATACTGTCGGGCATAGTGTGGCCTTGGTCGGGCGCGGTTTACCCCAATTGTTAAAATAAATAAAACCAGCTTCTTACCCCTTGACGAGTTTTTGGTCGTTACACATGTTTCGATCTTATGAAAGTTCATCCTCAGCAGCATTCAGTAAATTAACAAATATCACATCGATTTGACAACAACATATGGCAACTACGTAAGTAGATCTTCGTCTTATAATAATTCCAACCTAGTGAATACAAACAGTAGTCGAGCTGCAGCGCTGCAGGTGAAATCAGTCGTGCTGCAACAGATTTTCCTACGTATTCGCTGACACATTCCATCTCTTGTGTCATTCTCCACGAACATCCCTTCCACCCACGTTACCTTTTGCAATTTCTCCAATAACACTGACAAAAAATCAAATTTATATTTCTACGATGTGACAATTAAATTTTAACAGTAGATAATCACATTGTAACCACTCAACGTTTATAGGTACAAATTACACTTCGTCATATCACAACCACCTCTGCACCTCACACTCGTTGCCATCTCTAACCTCCAACTTCAAATCGTCAGTCCAGAAACTCCAACTACACGGTTGGTGAGTGGTGATGTGCTAATGTAGAATGTAGACTATAGAATGGCACGCGCGGCGCATGGCAAGGTGCCCAGATGTCATCTGCAAGTCAATGCCATGGCGCAATGCACCTACATCCTACTACCTCTACATCTACATCCTAGTCTCGTCTCTCGTCGTGTGGGATATTATGTATTGTTGGGCTAAACTTGTATGACTCATGAACCCACTCTTGTTCTAGGCTGCTTTTGCATAGTCTACTGAGCGTGCCCTCTTTATCTACGGGCGTGTACATCATAGTAATGTTTAAGGACAAGGCTACGAATGTTGCTGTTGTATCCCTTGGTAAATTTACTATCTCGTCAAAATATCAGTCGACGCCTTGTAAATAATTCCAATACCAGTATTTACGACCAAAAGCTAGACCTACTACGACATTCAGAAAATGAAATGACCTGATATGAAAATTAAAATTTAATTCCTAGGTCGGGTGTGTTGCCTAGTGGGGGATTGTGCAAGCCTAGTGGTTAGCGTATCGGTGTGAGAGGGGTGGGTTCGATTCCCGGCCTAGCTAGAAAGATTTTAGTTGTGTGGACCGTTTTCTCTTAATGTCGTTGACGAAGGATGATTCTTCCTCACGACGATCACAGAAACAAAGTGTCATATTATGAATTTCGATAACGCTGCAGTCGCAGTCATCAACAAAAATTTAGTAGATTTTATTTTAGCAGAGTCTGAATGCCATAGCGCAATGCACCTACATCCTACTACCTCTACATCTACATCCTAGTCTCGTCCCTCGTCGTGTGGGATATTTTGTACTGCGGCTAGCTTGCTCAAACATGCACACACTGTACACTCTTTGTGCTTGCTCAAACTTACACAAACAGTAGGCATACTCTTTGGTTACCATACCGCTAGACCTAACTCTTCTCCCCCCCCCCCCAACTGGCTCCGTACTTAAATACGGAAACAATAAAACAAGATTTACACCAGAAACATCCGGCGCGAAGGACCTAATTTTGGCGCGGCTGTCGCTTCCTTCTCCCTGCTTTGGCTGATCCCGCTACAGTAACCAGTAGTCACCCGTTAGCTGTTACTCGCTAGACGGGATCGGATTCAGGAAATTGGTCTGTAACCGCGCGAGTAATGACGATATCCTCCTGATAGGCCTACACCGCCACGGACCATTGGAGGAACGGGTCTTGGGGTGAAGCGGCAACGGCCAAGCGGCAACTGTCCCGGGTGACGGCTGATGATGAGCCTACTGGAGCAGTTATTTACTCATATGGCACTGGATATGTTAGCAGTTATGCCAGGCACTGCGAAAGTTGCGAATGATGTTTTTATTCCCTGTTATGAGATTGCCACATCATCTGTACCACATGACACTGTGTGCAATTCTCCTCTGAAGGGTGTCGTGTCATAATTATAAACCTTAAGTTTTTGTATGATTTAATATAACATTTTACATTTTATGTAGCTATATATCTCATGGGTTGCACTTACTCTCTTATTATCCTTCAAATGAGCTGCATGCAATTGTAAGATAAGTCCGGGATGTTTTGAGTGCGACAACGACTTCTGCTATATTTTGTTGCTTTACTAACTTTTCAATTATAATTCTTGAATCAAATATATTAAATATGATCAAATAGAATGTTTACTGCTGTTTACACACTGTCATTTATTTTATTCAATAGTAAATTTTACTGTCCCCACCTGTAGGGTACATACAGGTGGGGACTGTAAAATTTACTATTGAATAAAAGAGAGTGATTACATTATCAGATTAAAAGTTGCCGGTCATGAAAACGAGCTTCAAATTTTACCTCAGGAAGAGAAGTTTACTTTCGATATTTGAATTCAATGTTAATATCGACTGAAACATTTTTCTTTAAAATGTCTTCACTACGTGTTTTACGGTCTTTAGTAATGTGGGTTTACGTATGATTCCGATTTTTTTAGGCGTAAAGGATTATCGGGGCGTATAAATCAAGGAATAAGTATTCTGGTCAATGAATGAAATAGCGTGATCATAAATTCGCGTTTTAGTGATTGTTTCAATATTTTACTTAAATTACTGCTAGGTACTTCAAACAACTAGGTACATTTTTAAAAAGTACTACCACCCTAATCGAATTCCTATCGAAATGTATTCAATGACTCGTAATCGGATGCGAATGGAAAAGACACTTCCGAGATAGACACGGAATTGAATAGGCTATTCCGATCTAATAGCAGTAACTGTTAGTGTTAATTAAAAGGCACTTAGAGCCATTATGGGAAAGTTTCAGTGTGACGCGGAAATGAACCGTTTCTTAACACGGGCTTATCACTTTCTTCTGAAGGTCGGAAATGTCAAGTGCCCCGTTGACTGCCCACTGTCTATGATGGACATGACCTTGGCCATTCCCATAGCACCTACTAACACTTCTGGAAATGGTCTATTATCAGGCTTGGCCAATTGCACTTAGCCATGAGGCGATGACGAATTCAGAAAGGAATGTTGATGATACAATTAAGTGCTTGGAATATAAAAGCTTAGACGTAGTAGTTTTGTCTGATTATGCACAACTACTGAGCGGAGCTCCAATCTATCTATCCGCCAGAATCAGAGTTTTTGTAATGGAAACAATATTGAACAATTGTTTACAACAAATATTTGCATTTATTGAACATACTATACATAGAGCTATTATAGATCCGCCCCGAGGTCAAAAACTCAAGCAAAAGTATGATTGTGCAAACTTCTCCATTTCCCAAATAAACAGTATTAGCAATCTGACACATACTTTCTCCCATAAGCTTGTCAACGACCTTTATCATGTGCAAGTGGTAGGAGTAACTATGATAATTTTATATGGGGAAAAATTAAAAAAGTTGCAATAACTTTTGAGCCGTAATTGTTACAACATTGGGGGGTTGCACTTTTTTGTTTGGAATTATAAGGACCATAAAACATTAATTTTAATCAAAGCCGGGGTTTCCCCAAAATCCGATTTAATTTTTACAGAAATGGGATTTGTACAATGTTGTTCAAAATGTAAAAGGCCATAACATAGGTATTAGTTTTAATCGAACCCAGCTTTTTTCTAAAATCTGAATGCATTTTCGAGAAGTCCGATGTAACAATCGCTGTTACCAAGACAACTCGTGGTTCTGCAGCTGCAACCGTTCCTTTCTCTCAAGAGTCACGGCAGTAACAAATCTTTGTTGACACATCTTCATCATTCAACATTCAACGTTCAACGTTCAACGAGCAGACACTTCCTGAACACAAGAGGTGTCAGAGAGATGGTGAACGACAGGCATAAACTGAGCCAATCAGGATGCTATGCTTGTTTCCATCCGTTTGATAGGGTGCAGGTTGGAAATAATTATCTTCATTACAAAGCTTAGTTTGGGTGCGTTAGAGGGAGTCTGATAACAACAAAAACTTTTGTAAAATAAGAATACTTGGTCTCAATTTTTTTTAAATACTAACAATCTGGTTTTTAGTTACTAACAATCACTACTCATAACTTCTTAGTTATGTTTTCGTTTATTGTCAGTGCCACTGAAAGTGATGCAACGACTTATTGTATAATCAGCTGATTTCATGTAATCACGTGTTTGTAAAACTTCGTTAAATAATAAATTACCTTTTTCAGGGAATAGGTTCTGCTAGCAGCATTCTTACCATAAATACTGTATCAGGTACAATTAGGGAAATATTGCATTTCATTTTTTTTTGACAACTGAATGATTATAGTGAAAGAGTTAATTTACAGTTAGATCTCAGCATCGAATATTATAGAATATTATAAGCAGTTTGTGCTCTCATTTCCATCTCGTCAACTTCACTTTCACTAAATGACATTTTTTAAACAGTTTACTCTGACTTCCTTTAATTTCCACCAACTTAGGTTAAGAATACGCGAGTATCAACAGGAACAAGTAAGATCAACAATTAAAATTGTCAACTGATCAGCTGATCAGCTGATTAGTGACGTTCGAAGCATTACAATTTTAATTCTTTTCTCTCAATACTTGAACCTCATTGATCCGTTACCTGTGTTGATATGAGAAAAACTATGCTGATATGAAATGAAACTATGCTGATATGAAATGAAACTATGCTGATATGAAAGTAAACAGCTGTTAAGTGAAACTTTTCAATTCTAAGAACTGAACTGAAATGGCTACTTTAAAAACGGTCGTAGGTAAATATATGTTTCAACGTATTTGTATTTACTCTCCGTTTATACTAACTGTATTTTAAGAAATGCAGTGATATTACAAGAAATACCAATACTTCCGGGGTACAAATCAGTTGATTGATCATACACGACCGACCTGTTGACAATACAGTATTGGGAATGACCTCGGTGATGTCAGTTACCTTGTAGGTTGACCGCCCTGTACCAAATACCAGTAGACCTACTACTTGTCCTATGACGGCGAGTCAGGTGTTGAAATATCGAACCTTGGTTGTTAAGCGAGCAACATATCGAACATAGGTTTCTGCTAATTCGTAGTTTGTGTTACAGGCGGAGTTTTAACAATGGGCTCATCATTAGCAGTAATCGATAATACTGTTTGTGGTAATGTGAGACTGGGTGTTGTTTCAGTGGTTTTGTATTTCGGGACACATTTTTGTAATTGTTGACTATGAAGTCAATCAACTGTGATTCATGACTAAGTATTTCCTTTGTTCAAGCGAATTCAATGGTTACAGTTTTCGTCATTTCGTTAAAGCACTAACTAATCTTATATTGATCCAATAAAAAGAATTTTTTTAACAAATAAAAGAGTAGTATGGTACGGTTCTATAAGCAAACCTCAACATGCAAATTGAAAGCTAACGTTTCACTCCAAACTGTTCAATAATAGCCGTCAAATGTATAAAAAATTACACCAAGCGTCGTGGATGGGGGGGGGGGGGTTCAGGTTAAAAAATTGGTATTTTTTTATGAAATATTTCGAAAACTATGCAGTATTGTTTTTAGTATCTTGTCAAGGTCCACTCGTTTTCCTTAACATAAAAGGTAGTATTTTATAATACTTTAGCTGAGAAGGTCCTGCCATTGATTTGGTGCATATGTTTCACTCAAACTCCGAATTCAGACAATTTCCAAAATTGTTACCCACTTCGCGATGTGTACGGCGTGAAGTAGGGTACCCTCGGCGCGGAGTGAGCATTTTATTCGGACATTGGCCGAAGCGAAATGACCAGACTGCATTGTGGGTAAACTGATTTACTCAAATGCCTAAGTCAAAACAATCCTCGGGGATTGAGCAAATACAAAATATCCACAACGCGATGTGAGCAAAAATTATTGCCCACGTCGGGTTGGGGGTATTTCTAGTTTGCAGAAATGACGGATATCGCTCTCACAGGACATCCATAATAAAGATATTTTAGAGAGCAGAAGAACCTATCTTTGAGCACTTTTTGCTCAAGAAAATCTGATATTGATACATAACGGGAAAACCGTGTAACTTCCTTAAAGATTCTGGCAGAAAAAATATCAAAGGAACACGCAATGAAAATTTACCCCAGTTTTAGACAATGTGATGGTCAGTATTCCTGATGTTGTAAAGGGAAAACCAGCTCCTAGAAGTATAATAGCAGTTATTATAAATAACAACCATAACTGATGCACTCTTGGTACGAAAAATGGAGTTTTGGACAAATAGTTCCGAAGAAAACAATTCCAGGTGGCACAAAGTTACAGTATTTTATTTTCATCGAGGTACATCAGGTACATGATGAGCAACTCAACGTACGCAAAGAAGCAATGATGTCATCCGGATCCAAGCAAGGTTTGCTCAGATGTTGCAAGAGGAAATGTTGAGGTAAATCGTGAAAATGTATTAAGTTATGAGTACAATTTAATTCTATATGCCATGGCAGCACATACTGATCCAACAAGTAAAATAATGAATAAGAACTGTCTAATAGTCGCCGTTTTAAGGTTCCTCTTATGGCAGAAAAACAGCCGTTTTTAATTCATGCTTTGTGGGTCAAAAGTAGCATTTTTACTCTCTAGGGAGTACAATTAATTTTAGTCCTAGGGAGTAAAAATCAACTGTTGTAAACAGTTGTAAATTTCGACTGTGGCAATCGTATCGATCGAAATTATTTATCGATTGATTTATTAGGTAAAGTGTAAGCCTATTGTTGTCGATCCCTCGAAATGTCTATGTTAGGCCTATAATGTACTGTAACACAATCGTAATAGACGAAATGATTGAATCATTAAACAGCTGCTTATTTGCATTGGCAGAATTGAAAACAGCTAATAGTCGTTTTGAGAGGTTGTTTACATAAAAATTATTTAGTTTTCTAGCTTAAATGATACAATATACCGGTAACAAAAAATATAGTTCACCACACGGGCAAAAAGTTCTTTTTCCGACCCCGGTTTCGCCTCGATCGTAATTAAAACTTGACCTGGGGTAAAAAGAGTCACTTTAGGGGCCCTAGTGATGAAATATACTATTCCACTATTAACATTCCAATGTCTGTGTATTTGCTATAGGCCTTTTTATAATTTTTCCCATTCGGTAATTTGCTGTTTACTGTACCTTTTTTTTAAAGTTTTTTTATAGGCCTACTCGTGCTTAATAAATACAATTATTTCAAATAAAAATTGTATTTTGTTTTACCTAGTTATTGTGGATTTCATGTAGATTTTTTGTATGCGGTAGTTTATACAGGCTATTTCGGCGTTTGTGCAAACTTTAAATATCCTCAACCCGACTTAGGCAATCACTTTTGCTCACATCGCGTTGTGGGTATTTTTTATTTGCTCAATGACTTAAGAATGTGTTTACTTCGGCATTTGAGAAAATCAGTTTACCCACAACGTGGTCTGGGCATTTCGCTTCGGCCAATGTCCGAATAAAATGCTCACTCCGCGACGTGGGTATTTCACACTGTCCACATCGCGAAGTGGGTAAAAATGTCGGACATTGTCCGAATTCGGAGTTTGAGCGTAAAATATACCCTTAGTGTATATTCAATGGTTCCATGGTTCAGCACTGAATTGAATTTCAAAACCAGCTTTACTGATTTGTGTGAACAAATACTCGTTGCTTTATTGTCACTCAAAACCCTGATCCAAATAATTATTGTTACAAACACAATTATAGAGGATGTAGTAAAATTCCACCAACACTTTCTTTTGTAAAAAAACAAAATGATATAACCTAAAAGTTATTTTTACCTCTAAACTTATCAATCAATCTTGAAACTATTTCCCTGTGCTTTATTAACACTCCAAGCCACTTCAGGTTTTAAGAAACCCTCCAAGTTACTCTGAACAAAAGATCATTTAAAAGCTCTTCTGTGACTCATAATCTAGACTCAGTGTCTTATCAACCAAAGATAACAGTGACTCAAGACTCGGGCTTCCTGTCACTTAGGTCCAAAGAGTGTATGGTTACTAGGAGAACATCAATGGGATTTGATTTGACAGTTAGGTTGTAGGTTCCAGTGAAAAAGTTTAGCTAGGTACCTTCAGGTTTTGAAGTTTAAGTGTAGTATTAGGTATTTTCAAATTGTGCAAAGCGTGTATATTTTTGGATACAGTGTAGTGAAAAGGTGCGTTTGCTGGTGTACTGTATGGTAAAAAAAATGTTTACAATATTGTGTTGCTGTTTGAAAGTGTGTTTTATTATAATTTTAATTCAAAATAAGACATTTTAGAAGCCATATGCATAGTGGTTTCGGACTTGGGGATTTTCAAATTACATCTACATGGCCCTCTGTTTAGAAATAGTGTATTGTTTACTGTCTTCAAGTCCAAAGATAACACTTTGTTTGACCTTTAAATTTTCATTAATAAATCGCCAACTCATAAATAAAGAAACTGTCAAATTTGCTGCCCTGGCTATATTAGACATACCATAGTCATTTGCTGTCCATCATTATTTCTGCCACTCCCAATTATCCTACCAAAGGCTTACACATGCTGAAACATTCCTTACACTTTATGATCTAAAATATCCTAGAAAGAGTAAGGATTTTGGTTACTAAACAAACTTTTAGTGTGATGAATATTGTTATGTACCTTCCCTGATTTTAAAAACACTGTTTTGATTTTAGTAAGCATTCTTTTTAATGTTAATTTTTCAATGCACAGCTTATTAAAAGTATGCTTAGTGATTTATGAGGTTTATATGAATACCAACGCTCACTGTGTGGATTTATGTCTTGGTTTGAAACACTTGTCTATTGGTTAGAATGGAGGTCTTTTATACTGTTGGCTTAGGTTTGAGTCCTGCCAAAGGCTAATTGGTTTTAGATACATAGTAATGCTTTTTTTGCTAATTTAGGAACAAACCTTAATGTTCTCCTTATCTACAAAGCAAGGGATAGGTGTTTCTCTGAGGAGGTGTACCGGTATTCTTTGTATTTACCAAGAGAATTTTTGTCAATGCTCTGAAACAGTATCTATCAGGAAGACATTTTCTGACAGTTTTTCTTTTGTTCCCAGGAAGGATCAGGATCAGTTCCAGGATGCTGAAGCAGATCCTGCAGGACCTCTGGGTCCACCCGGATATCCTGGCAGAGCTTGATGACCAGCAGAAGCAGACACTGTTCTGCAGGATGAGAGAGGAGCAAGTGAGGAGGTGGAAACTTTGGGATCAGGAGGATCAGAAGAGACCAGCAAAAATCATCAGGGATCAGAGTAAGTTGAGGGTGTAGTGAATAAATCAAAACCAGTTCTGTCTGAAATAAATTCTGAAAATGTCTTGAGGTCATGAAATGAACATCAGTCTCAACATGTTCATTACAGTAATGGCAAAGTTCACTGGAAATTCGCTGATTATAAATCATGCAATTCAAAAAATTGTCATTAGAATTATAGTATATTTCATACCTAGGGCCGAAAATGAGGTTTTGCCGGCTTGAGATCGCTATTTTTCCCCACATTATACAAAATTGAGAAAAAAATATACAATATGCACACTAACAGCTTTGACTATCTAACAGTCAACACAACTGCAACTTTAAGGTTATGTGAAGAGGAATCAGCAAAAATAATAATAAATAGTTGCTAAGCAGCTGTGTGACAATAAAACAAGTCTATTGCAATGTGGTGAAACCTTTGTGGTGTAACTATTAGTTACTATTACTACAGTAACTATTACTGTAGTTATTTGTGTAACTAGTGGGCAAAGTGGCACTTTGCTGCACACGAGAGCAATGTTTACTCGAGTGCAGCAAAGGCCTTGTGCACTCGTGTTACACATTATATTTTTCCTACAGTCACTATAAAGCACATAAATAATTAGTCTTTCAAACACTATACAACACGTTTTTAGGTTCGGTTCAGCTGGAAACACAAAATAGGTACCCTAGAAAAAGTAGTACCCGGTCCGTATCACTCCGCTATTTTTTCCTCGGCAAGGAATGTGCTCCGCGACTTGAGAATATAGTTCCGTATGTTTTTGTTATTTGAAGTGGTTTCCGTGCCTAAAAAATTGCTTTAAAGGTATTTTCTTGTTTAATAAGATCGTAGGAATGTTTTAAAAACGTTTAAAAGAAAAGTCCAAAAAGTTCAGAAATACCAAAACTATAAACACGAAATGACAGGTTAAATCGTAGTTATAATAGTCAATCAGCTGCTCATAGTATTATTATCTTTAAGTGTTGCCAACCTATTTCCAAGCGTACACGGATTATGCGCATAATAGAACCAAGCTATTTTGTGTTGTTTCGTTGGAATCCTGATGTGCGCCAAAGTATAAACTGCACGATAAAGTATAAATATGCAGCAATTAGCAGCTTTCTGTACTATAAACAGTACAAGGAACCCAACTTTGTCGGGTGACTGTAGGAAAAAGAACTTACAGATAGGTAGCTAAACCTTTTCATAATCAGTTAACCTCATAAAATTAACATGCCAGGATCTCTAACCAGTAAATCACTAAAACCAAACCGAGACATTCAGACCGTGATAAGGTTACCAAACTGTTTTTAGAGTTATATTTCACTACACAGAGGCGTGATTATATAGTTTAGATTATTTTTTAGAGAGAAATAAGAAGAATGTTCAGTTCCTGATGGACACAGAGGGAGAGCCATGGACTTGGGTGATGGGGGAACACCCGGATGATAAGAGTATAGAACAGATACTGGAGGAGGAAGCGAGGGAGGCTGCAAGACAACTGGCAGAGAGAGAGGCTCAACAACTCAGGTGGGTTAACCCTTGACAAGGCATACTACAGGCACACACAGAGGTTACTTCTGCATTTGGGAAAATAAAAGAAACAATTGACTTTATCAAACAATTGTCTTTATGTGTAGTTTTGCAGTCAGCATCACATTTTCACAATAAAGAATCCACAATCCACACAATAAAAGGAAATGAGAACACATTTCATAAAATTTTAGAACATCTTTGCAAGAACAGAGGTAAACTCTGCTATGTGCCTGATGGAAGGTGAAACTCTTGAACGAGATCTGACCAGTGGTTAAGATCTATGTATTTCTGAGTGGGACACCCTCTGTTTCACCTTCATTCTAGTCTGAGATAAACTCCTGTAATTTTTAAACCATCTCAAAAATAATACAAGTAAATATCTTTATAAAATATTTGTATGTTTAATCCAACGGTAATACAAATCTACTGTTACTACTGTATAGGAAACATTTGAATAATTTTCACAAACAGAATTTTGTTATTGTTTTGGGTGGATGAAATAAATTAATCTTTGCTCTGTGGCTTATCAGAGTATGCTGTGTTACATGTTACACAGTGTATTTCACTATGTTTATATGTGACGACACATTTTTCTTATTCCAAAATATTAATCTGAAGTAGACCATTAAAATATGAATAGAAAGAAATGGCAAATTTCGGATATACATAGTAGAATGAAGCAGTTTATGAAATAGAAAATCATTGTTGTTCTGTACAAAATTCAAATGCCTTGTATTTTGCAGGTTATCAGTGGAGGCAGAGTTGACGGAGTTGTTAGACCTGAACCAGAAGCAGTTGGCGGCCATGGAGAAGGCTCATCAGACTGAGGCTGAGGACATATACTGCTCTGTCAATGATATAAAAGACAGGATCAAAGTCCCCATCTCTCCCTTACCTAGAGACGCACTGCAGGAGATATCACTGAATAAGGTTACTATATATGATCACTTAACTATTCCCACTATTGATTCCTGGGTGTATAGAATAGATAGTTTAAGGCCCCTCCATTTCTATGAACATGATTACCAGTACCTCAATCAGACAACAGTAAATCAGTTTATTTTCATGAAGAATTGGAACTCATATTTTGTTTGCTTACATTTATGCCACAAATTGTTTTATCAATAATTTTGAGATTAGATGCATACTTTATAAATAAATAGCTAACGTACCCATGCTTCACAAGGGGAAGAAAACTCAGTTTCATAATCATTGAAATATTGAAATAGATTTAGAATAAATAATCTATCATACATTTTTAGAACTATCCTACCACATAGTAGTGTAAAATATAATTCCTTTGGATCAGCTGTCTGAAATTGTGAAATCTATATATTAATTTGAAACTGTTTTTCTTTGTCATAGCTATTTTGAGAGAACGGCTGGGCGTAGAAACTCGGTAGAGGTGTCTAAAGAAAGGTCTTGGTCTGTAGATGAGCCATCAAAAGAGAAACATGGTGAATTCCCTTGGGGCTCTGCCCCAGTGGCCTTTGAATTCCCATCCCATGTTATTCTTATGGAGGAAAACGGGGTTTTTGTCACAGCTAATTTGAGAGAACGGCTGGGCGTAAAAACTTGGTAGGGGTCTCTAAAGAAAGGTCTTGGTCTGTAGATGAGCCATCAAAAGAGGAAATAGGTAAATTCCCTTGGGGCTCTGCCCCAGAAGCCTTTAAAGTTGCCTCTTCAGATTTATTTACATTATGACCATATGCATAATTCTACACTACTTTTGAATGAAACAGCTGTTAATATTTAAATTGTGATTTATTGAATTTGTCAAAATGGAGTACAGTATTTGTAATGGGTTTTTCTGATTTTAAAATGGATTTTCTTCTGCATCGTGTCATGTTTTGCAATATAATGTTCTATTACCAAATCAGTGGAAAATCCTAATATCACAGTAACTCTTAAAATTATTTCTTTTGGAGTTAACTTATATCTATTGCTATTGTATGGGTTGGTTTCTGCCTTTTTTTACCACTTCTTGGAGATTGTACGTAGGTGATATTCGTTGGCATATTGCATCTGTAGACAAAACTTGGGTTGGTGTAATTATTAGAATGGAAAAGAGCGAGAAATCCTGAACAATTTGATATAGGCTAAAAATTAAACTGAATTAACACTGTGCTACATTTCTTGAGCAATCCTTGAAATACCGATTTGCAAACAATGAAAACATAGAAAAAGTCATAGAACAGAACCAAGTAGAAGAAATAGAAATAATGTTTTTTTTTTACACTAAAAATACTAAAAAAACAAGATCAGCTTTTTGAAGATATTTACAAAAGATTTTGATTATATCTAACTGTTGTGTAGAACGTGAGTATTTCCATAATCTTTGAGTCGCCTGTAATGCTTCGCAATTGCTCGAATTCGAGCAACAGGTACACTAGTGAGCATTAATTGGAAGTTCCGATTGTTTACATTTGTCAATGCAAAGGTAAAAATTGTAAATTTTCCCATTCTTCCATGGAGACCAATTAATATATTTTTTTGAAAACCTTACCTGAAGACTTTGGACATCCAAGGGGCGTAGCCCAAGAGGAACTCAGGGAAGTGAACAGGCCTATGACATTCGTAGATATGTGGACCATCTTTGTGCTTAATTTTGGCTGTATTGCTTTAGTATTTTAGTCATGACAGCTGCCTAGACAGACACCACCTCGATTTTATAATATTATAGATGGATATGGATAAAATAAATAATAAAATCTGAATAAAATAGTAATGCCAGAAACATGTTCTGTATAAAGCAGGAATTTGTTGAAGCTGTCAAAGTCGAAATTGACTTAGTGAAATACAGGTGGTATTTGATAGGCATACTCAGCCAAAAGTTAAACATGTAACCGATGTAACATTAACTATTTATTATTTCGTACATTTTAATAAATATAATTATATTTTCAGCCTCATAAAGTTTCTCAGAGAGTAGCCATGTGGGAAAAGAAAGTCATGGAAGAGAGGACGTCACAGATCTTCAAAGGCATTCAGAAGAAAAAGTTGGAAGCAGCCAAAGAAGCAGAAGAGGCAGAGCACAAACACGAACAAGTGTGGAAAGAACAAGGTAATACACATGAAATTTATAACCTGAGCCAATGAGACAGGTTCTATAATCTTTCATTGAGTGAATCCTCTGCACTCACAAACAATTAGCAACAAATTGTAACTGAGCCATTTACGATCTGACCTTGAACATACAGTTTAAGCTCTGTTAACCTTGACTCTTGGGACCAAGGCCATGACAGCTGAATAGATAACAGGGAACAAAATAGAATAGGGTAACAGGAACTCCTTCATAAATTACTATAAAAAAATAGCAAAATAAGCAATTCTGAGACGATGGATAACAAAGATTGATGGTTAAAAGAATAAGAGTAATTTGAAGTTCCACTTTACCTTAAACACTTCTTTCAAGGAACTGCATTTTATTTTTAAGTGTTTTGGTTATTAAATGTGTGTTGTTTTATGTCTTGGTTAGAAGGAGATCTGTGAGTGCCTGTTTTATACGTAGGCCAACAGTACCTAATAAACAGTATCAGCAATCTGACACATACTTTCTCCCTTTAGCTTGTCAACAACCTTTATCATGGGTGGGAGGGAAAATCACAAAAGTTGCAATAACTTTTGAGCAGTAAATGTTACAGCTAACAGGGGTTGCACTATTTTCTTTAGAATTATAAGGCCCATAACCCAAAAACTTTAATCAAAACCGGCTTTTTTCCTCAAATCCGCCGTTTAGCTATTTTATGGGTCTTTTATAGGGAAATGACATTGGTTATAATAATTTTTGAACTAAAATTTTTACGTAAAGAGAATTTGTATCATTTTGTTCAGAATTTTCAGGACTATAACAATAACATACTAAATCTTTATCAAAATCGTTCAGGCCATTTTCTAAAAAATCTGATTTTTCCGTTATTTTATGGGAAAATCACCATTAAAAATCTGAATAAAAAAATTATGTTCAGGGGGACTCAAAACGGATATACAAAAACTCAAACTCAAAAATTTTGACGAAAACAATACTTTCTCCATATGCTACAGTATGAGGATAAAATAGGAGAAATTAGTTCAGAATTGTATGTAGCCTACCTACTAAACTTGTTTTATCTATGGTTATTTACATATTAGTAAAATGTTTTTAAATCGGTTATTTTCACCATGAGGATGCACTTTGGTGCCCTTGGAAAATTATGTATATTTCCTTAAATAAAATGCCATAAATTATTAGTAATACAGAAAAAATTCTGCAAAATGTAGGTTGTTTTTAATCATGCCACTCCAAATTGGTAATCACCCTAACTGTTTTAACTTCTTAAAGTGTTTTTTTTTGTTATGCTTAGCTGGATTCATTAGCTCCACTGTAAATTTTCATTTACAAGGGTTTTCCTTGAGCTCCAGTTTCAGCCAAGGTAATCTGGCACTCTCAATATGTTCTTTTACTTCACCCATTACTATTCTAGCCACTAGCCAGTCCCCATCACTGGTATTAAATTACTATGACAAGAAGTAAGTCGCATAGGTGTCTAAATAACAAAGTAAACCCCATCATTACAAAATAAAAACTAAAATGTTCAATCAAAATTATGTATTATTTCTATTTCAACTATTTTACTTCTCAACTTTTCTAGTGTTAACATTTGATCAAATGTTTCTTAAATTGGGGGATTATTATTTTAATCTAAAACATTGTTATAGAAAAGAAAGCCAAAGAAGCAGAGCAGAAGATTAGAGAGATTGCTAGGATCGCAAGAGAAGAACACAGAAGAGCGTCTGTGATGGATGTTGAAATGGATGTGCCACAACCAAACAGTCCCACTCCAATAAAACCACTGACACCTGAACAGTTGGATCTCGCCAACCCAAAACCTCCAAGTAAAGAAGCCATCATAGAGTGGTTCCGATCCAGCGAGCTTGCAAGACGAGCTGGCTTAGAACGACACAGAAACACTGTAGCTCCATGGTTCCATGGTAAGCCAAGAATCTATAGAATATTTCTCCTGTAACCAAAATTGTGCAATAATGAAACGCAGACTCTGTGATTTCTGCAGTGAAATGGTGTATGTTGTTTATGGACAACTCTTCAACATCCAATATTTAATGTTTGGAAACTTGTTTTCAAGATGATTATTACTAAAGTACAAAGTGTTTTAGCTCAAGGAGTACCACATAATTTCTTAAGCGTAATGATTACCTGATATAGATGGGAATTGCCGTTACTTTGCAATAATAGTCAGGAACGTTCCTTATCTTTTCGGTGAAATAACTCTCTTCAGTCTTCACTAATAGTTGATCATGTCAATTGGGATGGGTATGAACTGGAGTTGCCGGTAAACTGCCAGGAGACCAAGTTGGCCAGTGTTCTGTTTCCATTTTTGTTGTCTGGCCCATTCATGCCTTCAGGCTGGGTGGGAAATGTCAGAGGTTGGTTCCAAGTTGCTATAACTGACAAATAAGTGGTATGACGTGTAGCAAGAATCTTTTGCAAATATAATCTGTTGCAATGTACTTCATCAGGCTGATGTTACAGGACTGATCTCACGGCAAGAGGCTGAAGCCTTGTTGAGTCCCATGCCTGTCGGGTGTTTTCTTGTCCGGGTGTCTGAAAGGATATGGGGCTACGCCATCAGCTACAAGGACACAGACCGCTGCAAACACTACCTCGTGGACGCTTCCAACGGCCATTACCAGTTCCTTAACACCAACCAGATCGCTCACAACTCTTTAGGTACGCAAACATAATTAGATCGGTCACGGTAGTAACAATCTTGAAGTGAAATCTACTCACATTTCAATAAAAAATAAAACTTATAACGCCATAACACCGAAACTAACCAAACACAACGTGAAATAAGCAACAACAGATCACTGCGTCATCATGACAATGTCGTCAGCTGATGTGTTATTACATAGAGTTTTAAGTTTTCCCAAAGGTGTCCAAATAGTTGAAATGCACATCAATCGACAGATTATTCATTTCTGAACCGAATAAATACTATATTAAGTGAAATTTGTTTCATTTTCAATCAAAAATCAAAAATTTCAGTGACGTTGCCATTTTAGCCGCGGCGTAAATTGCCCGATATTGGGCACAAGCCAGCTCTAGGGTTAAAACACACATCAGCACCACTTATACACCTTTATTGATGTCTAGGTCACATTTTCTCCCCGTTGCAAAGCACGGGTATAGCAGCTCGTATGTTATTATCATTGTTCTAATGATTTTCAATTACTGTAAATAAATCAGTGCCAGGGGCGGCTCTAGAGGGTAGGCCAGGTAGGCCCATGCCTACCGAAAATGTTGGTAGTTATTTCAAAACTATCTTATTACTAATACCTACTGATATAATGACTAATCTATTTACCTTATTTACTGATTGCCTTGTTACTAAGATGTCCTCAAAAACATTTAACTCACTATTTTGTGAAAAACCCCGCCAAACCCCCCATTCCTTGATCAAACTCCTTCTGTATTCTTATCGAGCCCACCCAAAAATTTATTTCTGGATCCTCCCCTGCAGTGATAAAAAAGGCTCATTTTGATTTATATTGAGAGTACCCGTCCTTCGAAAGGAGTTTTGAGATAAGAATATGTCTACATGTTAATCAGGAATGTGAGCTATCATCATACCAAATTTCAACCCTGTCGGTTTAGAATTTTTCGCGTTTACTTGTCACAAACATCCATCCATCCATCCATACATCTAAACTTTCTCAATTATAATATTAGTAGGATAACACCAATACTAATCCGCAGGCTAGTCCGCCAAGTCCCCATTTCAGATTGGTAAATTCCAAAAGACTTACGAAATGTTGTATAACTCTTAATGAGGCACTTTTTTGCAGGTGAACTGATCGAGTACCACAGTAGCCAGCCTATCACAGTGCTGGGTAGGGAGTTACTGTTGTTACCATGTGTGAGGAGTGAAGCGTTGCCAGCCATATGTCAAGGTCTCGGAGGTCTAGACCACTCACGGTGATCTCACACCTCGCTTTTTAGTACAGTAAAAATATGTTTTGACCCAAAAAAAATTAGCACAACCGGGGAATTTGGTACAGATGTTGGTTGTACCTTCCTTTTGAACATACTAAAAGTCCCCTAAAATTGAAGCTGTGCTACGGCCGCCATATTGGAAAATGGCGGCATATTTCTGTATTTTTCGCTATAGTGACTTTATTATTAGAGATACAGGAAAATGCTAAATGTACAAAATGTAGGTCATATAAAAATACACATTTTTTGTATTTACCATCTTTCTCTAAACCCAACGGTTTTTGAGTTATTTGTTATTAAGTATATTTAGTTTTTTCTATTTATCAAAAATAGGTGAAACACATGGAAATTGACCGTTACTTTAAAGGATTATGATAATTTATCCCATTTAGTTAAATAGTGTGATACTATAAAATCTTTTAAGCTTATTTTATGAGTAAAACAACTCCGCCACAGCAAACCTGCAGACTCAGCAAATTTCCATTTGATTGGATGTTTTATTAAAAAATGTATATAAATAAAATTAGGTTCAACAGGTACCTAGGTTTGCTGTTACTGGTAGGTTATTATAGTGTGTTTTTTTTAAGTAAAATATTAATACCTTACTATAAAATAACACATTTTCTAAGTTTGATCAAAATATACCTATAAACAAGCAAACTGCAACAGTTAACTAATTCATAAGAATAGCATGGGAGTTTTAAATTTACAATAAACAAATTTGAATATACACATTTTGGTTGTGTTTACTAAAAAGATGGTGATTATTCGTCACGATTAGAATATTAACCAAATGGGTTTTCAAAAAGAGATGGAGCCTGTTATTAAAGTAATATTAATTCGTACCAAGCACCGAAAATATTGTATGCAGTAATGTAATCTACCATATTTTGTAAAGTACGCAATAGTCATATTAATATTTTATCTGCAATTTTTACCCATTTAATAGTTAACATTTTAATATTTTGATGGCACCACCACACTAACTAACTATACTTGACATCCCATTGTAAATTTGGAAGGGTGTTTTTCGTGTCTAGTTCATGTTGGTGACTAATTAAGTATGGTATAGTATAGTTAGTTTTATTTATCAAATATCGGTGAAACCCATCGCAATCGATGGTTACCTTCAAGGTTTACGACAATTATTCATCCCACTTAGTTGATATCAGAGTGATAGTGGTAGTGTCATCAAAATATTAAAATGTTAATTTATTAAATGGGTAAAAATGAGTATAAAATATTAATATGAGTTTAAAAAATATGGTTGATTTCCTCACTGCATACAATATTTCCGATACTTGGTACGAGTTAATATTACAGTACTTAAATTACTTGCTTCATCTCCTTTTGAAAACCCCTTCGGTTAGTATTCGAATCGTGACTAATAATCGCCATATTTTTAGTAAACACAACCAAAATTTGTATATTTAAATTTTTAAATTGTAAATCTTAAGCTACCATGCTATTATTATGAATTAGTTAACTGTTGCAGTTTGTTTTGTTTATAGATTTATTATGATCAAACTTGGAAAATTAATTATTTTATACTAAGTTATTGATATTTTACTAACCTACCTGTAGCAGCAAACCTAGGTACCTGTTGAATCTAATTTTATTTATATACAATTAATAAAACATCCAATCAAATGGAAATTTGCTGAGTCTGCAGGTTTGCTGTGGCGGAGTTGTTTTACTCATAAAATAAGCTTAAAAGATTTTATAGTATCACACTATTTAACTAAATGGGATAAATTATCAAAATCCTTTAAAGTAACGGTCAATTTCCATGTGATTCACCTATTTTTGATAAATAGAAAAAGAAATAATATACTTAATAACAAATAACTCAAAAACCGTTGGGTTTAGAGAAAGATGGTAAATACAAAAAATGTGTATTTTTTATATGACCTACATTTTGTACATTTAGCATTTTCCTGTATCTCTAATAATAAAGTCACTATAGCGAAAATACAGAAATATGCCGCCATTTTCCAATATAGCGGCCGTAGCACAGCTTCAATTTTAGGGGACTTTTAGTATGTTCAAAGGAAGGTACAACCAACATCTGTACCAAATTCCCCGGTTGTGCTAATTTTTTTTAGGTTTATGGAATTTTTCTCTTATTTTTACTGCACTATTTGTATTTATTGAACTGTCAACTCATTTTATAATTTTGTACATAACTTTGTAATTTATAAGCCCACAAGTGTTATAGTGTTTGGTTTAACTGTTAGTGACATTTTGATATTTCCAAGTTTTTACCTTTCCTACTACGTACGTGCATGTTGAATATGATTGTTTTTGTGAGACTGTAATTTAGAACCAAATGTGTTAGTTTTAAGTGTTGATCATGTTGTACCATTTACTCATATGACTGTCATTAGATGGTGCAAGAGAAAAAATACAATATAGTTATTCTTGGTTCACAAGAATTGTTAATGTAAATCATTCAGGTTAAAATACAATTTTGCAATCCATTTATGTTTTTGTATGATGTCAAAATGAATCAGTCAAATGTAAGGTATGATAATGTATTAATTTGCTTTAATGTTGTAAATACCTATATAGTGATAATCTGTAAAGTGATTTAGTCTATCCATATTTATGCTAATGCATTTTATAACAAGATTAAAAAGAGCTGTGCCTTATACAAATGTGTCTTTTTATTTAGATATTTGAGTCCCCTGATGCCTATGTCTGGCAAATGAAGTGTTAAGATAGCTGAGGGGTTATAGTGTTTGACTTCAAATCTGAAGGTCGCTGGTTGGATACCAAGTAGAATTGATTTTGGCCCTATACAATTTGCATTTGGGCTGTCAATTATAATGCTATCTAGTAAAAGATTAATAACTTTTGGTTAGTAAATTATCAAGGTTTGGGCCATTATTTTACAAAAAACTACAATAGCATGGATAAAAATCTATAATATTAAAACGAAACAGTGTCTTTTTATTTCACGATTCTGAATCAACCACTCGACGGATTTTCATGATTTTGTGTTGAAAGAAAGATAATTTTGAGAACAAGGGAATGTCGAAGCCTAATTTTAGTTTAGGGTTCCAGTTATTTAGAAATTAAGTTTTAATTTTGAAAAGTCTAGCAGCCGACGCTAAGATTCTAAACTAAGCTTTTGGTGTAGTATAATTTGTTTAACATAACAGCTGTAAACATTCAGCATTTGTAACACAAATTCAGCATTTGGATAAAATTAAAAGACATACTAAGGGTTGACGTATTTATACTATGTGTAATGCTAATCATTGATACGTTCAATCCTTCGATAAGAGGATGACAGATTGTTTAAATATACATAGGTAAAATACTAGGATGTTCAAAGGATTTTTTAAATAAATCTTTGTAATCTTTCGGTTTGTTTTAGTGCGATATAATTTTCTTTAACTAACAGCTGGTTAAATATAAACCATGCTCTGTAGAACTATGAGGTTATTTTATTTACTCTGATTTGTCATTGATTTTTAGGAAATAAGTAAGATTAGTAGACCACCGAGAAAAGTACACCATCGATGTATACAAGTCGAGGCTCTGTACACGAGTCTTAAAAAAGGATATGAAAATTATTATACTGCTAAACCTTTTTAGAAAAGGTAGGAAAACACATTTTACACGTTTTAATTCATCTTGGTTTGTTTACAAATCAATTTTTAAATAATGAAAACGTTGTTTGGATTAGGCCCGGAAATATTGATGTCATAAAGAAGGATATCAAGAATCCTCAGGATACAATTTTAAATTACCACCACAACACAGACGGGTTTTATCCAAATACGATATACAAATATGAATGACATAGATTGAGCACAACGTCATCATTGACCTAGGATACTGCAATTAGACTAACCATCCTTTTAAGAAAATCTAAAAGTTGTTTGGCATGTGTTTAGTTGTGGTTACGTTTGGAGGCCCTGAATATTTTATAGTTTAAATAAAATGAATGGGCAATTACGGTGTACATTGATTCAATGAGGGTGGTTTAATTACTAAGGATATTAGAACTGATAACGGAATGGATAATAAACATAGACAATTAATTACGTCACTAGCTTTACTAGCGTGTTTTACGTTTTAAATTCCTTCAACATGTGACCAGTTCTTTAGTTAAAATGAATATTATTTTATTTTTGACTCAACTGATTACCAAAACAAACTATATGTTGTTGTTTTTTACTTTTCTTTGTTTACACTTATTTAATAGCAATTGATGCAGTGAAATTGATATAAAGGATATGTGTGGACGATTCGTTTAATGATATCAGGACACCAACGTTATAATTATGTGTGCTGTGAATTTTGATGTTTTCGTTTTATTTTAGGGAGTTTCTATTCAGGCCTACTGGAAATTGTGTATAGTATGAGTAATTGTATTGTGTTGATATTGATTATGGAAGAGGCAGGTATGCGATGGAATTGGAAGGTTGATATCGTTGACTAGGCCTATACACTTTCTCATTGATAATTACTCTTTCTACCGTAGGCTGCTATAAAATTTGTCTTTATACGTGTAAGCTAGCTGTTCTGATTTATACACAGTTTTAACTGACTACTCCCGTACGTAGGACGGCTAACACCTCGTATTGTTTTAAGAAAAATTGTTATTGAGGTGTGTGTGTGTGTCTCATTGCACCTGTGAGTCCTGGAAAACATCAAACACAGTGAGTTAAGCCCACAAAAAATAAACCAATGAATCATACCTTCAAGGAACATGTCGGCCTTCGTCACTAAACAATATACAAGATCGTGCCACTCATCCTACACTCATATTTGGGTAAAATACACACATAGTGCAACCCTATCTTAAATAATTGATAGTAATTGACCCTTAAATTTTAGCCTTTGAAAATATCTACCCTAAAACCATATCCTAGAGTATTTAGAGTAGGCTATTTATATGTGCAGATTTATTTTTATGTTTCACTACATTTTAAATGTATTTCTAAGAGTACCTTGGATCATAAGTGAAATTCATTGGTTTTGGTTTTGGTAAAATTTTCTGTAAGCTTAACACAAAGCTGTACGTCTATTGGCTTGGTCAATTGATTGACAGATGAAACCCCATGTCAAATTATAGTCCAATAAATGATCAAATATGCCATGAGATTGAATAGACCTTGTTACAGCCTCATATAATGGCCCAGTTGTAGTATGCTATTTTTAAATGCAGATTTTTAATTTAGGTCTTTTTGCTGGCGTCACTAATGCATTTTTATTTACAATGGTTTTCAAAGACGGGAGACCAGGGTTGTGTAAATAATGTTTGTAAAGCCTAAATAGCACCAATATGTTGAAAAGATAAAATGTTATTATCATTGGTTTTATTACATATCTTAGACTGGATGGGACGGGTGGCGTCGTCCTGTAATCCAGCTACTAGGAGGTCACGAATTGTGGATATTATAGGCATGCACTGTGGATGCGATGCTCCCTGGTGTGGATTAACGTCCGCACTAGTGAGTACTACGACTATCCGCAGTACTATCCTGACTATTAGACCAATTCGTAAAAATTACAAGAAAAAAAATCTGGTTCGGATTCCACTATAAACTGTAGGTCCCTTAGTTGCCATTAGCTGTAATGGCTATTAATTAACATCTGTGTCTAAGGAACATGTCGGCCTTAGTCACTAACAAGACTACAAGATCGTGCCACTTATCCTACACTCATATTTGGGTTAAAATACGCACATAGTGGCGTCCCCCATCTTAAATAATTGATAATTGATATGATTGATTGACTGTATTTTATAATATCACTAGCTGCTGTACTCGTGCTTCGCAACGGGAATATGTACTATACCGCCTAATCCAAACACTTTAGGTAGATCGAATTTATAAACAAGAAGCCACCAATTTTTACAAATAAGAATGACCTACATTTAATTTTCCTACTGTTTACATTAAAATAAAATATATCGCTAACATAAGTTTTATAACTTACGGTTATAAAACCTTTTTTTATTTCCTTAATCAATGACATAAATAAACCTACCACATCGTTGTGTAAAATATTTTATTTTATTGTTTGGATCAGCTGTGTGTAATTGGGAAATAAGCATTAAGCAGTTCTGACTGTTTATATTAAAATGTCAACGTCAACGCAAAGGTAAACAAAGTTTGTGAATTTTCTCATGCTTCCATGGAGACCAATTAAAATTTACTTTTGAAAACCTCACCTCAAAACTTTTGACATCCAAGGGGCATAGGGAAGTGAATAGTCCCATGACCTTCCTAGGTATGTGGACAATTTTTGTGCTTAATTTTGGGGTACACTTCCATATCTGTTGGCACAACACCGAATGAAAATATCGATCGATATATCGATTATTCAATATATCGTTTGGTTAGTTAGGTTAGGGTTAACCAAACCTAACCAACCAAACGATATATCGAATTAAACAATTGAATAAACAATATTACTCATTCGGTTGTTTGTGCCAACAGATATGGAAGTGTACCCTTGAACTGTCTCAGTGTCGGTTTAGTATTTTAGTCGTGACAGCCGGACAGACAGACATACACCACCTCAATTTTATAATAGTATAGATTAGATGGAAATTGTACATAATATGTATGCCTATGTTTTATTTTTCCTACCTCTTGAACAAATTAAACACCACGAGCAATGCTCAGTCCCCTGGTACTATTATTATAATAGAATAATCATGTCTATCTTAGAAACATCTAAATAATGAGGTATCTGAATGATACACAAAGTTATGACTGAGAAAAAATCATCAAGTTATAAAACAACTATGTTTTATTCATACTTTATACTTTTTCTTGATTTTGTTGTTTGCAGAGCATTATTCTTATCTTTTTTGACAAGTTGGCTATCATCCATGGGTGTAATAACAGTACCCATCTGAGTGATCAGTGTGGGTGCTGTCAGCTTGGTATGGGCTGTCTGGGGCACCCAGGTAGCACCCAGAGGGGCTCTGATACTGCCTCGTACTCCTTCACACTGGTGAATGGGTACGGAACATCTGATATCTGAAACAGAAATATTTGTTAAAAAACAATTGACAAACATAATATGCATAGTTTAGGTGAATAAGGCGAGTGTAATGCTCTGCTTTAAATAGATGTGTAATTCCATTTGACCTTAGGTTTTACATTTTGATTTTGAATAATATTTTTCTCAAACTTTTATTAGAGGATAGGAAACAATTATCTAAAGAAAGGAATCTTAAACCCATTGGTGCTGGCTTACGAGTGCCACTCGTGTCGTGACTACGCAGTGCTACTAGTTATTTATTATTGTTTTCCCCCCTTTTCGTTTCTTCTTACTTTTATGATGATTATATCTTTCTTCTTGTTTTGCGCATTTACTCATTTATTTTTGGGAATAACAAACGAGGTTGTGTTGCCATGGAAACCAGATATCACCCAAAATCAGCTGCGGTAAGGTAAAACAAACAATTTTTTTCTATGTTATTACTTATAAAAGTAAACAACTTGTGATTTTTCTACGTAGGGAATCAATTGAACTTCATAATAGTAGTGTAATTTGGTGGATTGATTAATTTTGGAATTTTGCAAATCAAGTTTACTTTGAAAAACTGTTTTAAAAATTGTTAATTTTATAATCTTTATATAATTTTATTTTTTAAATTTTACCACTTTGACTATCCAATTACCACTTTTTTGTAGATAATTATACTGTGAATAAAATGGCGAAACCCTTATTAATTTATTACCTAATGTTTTCTTTCCATAACAATTAGAGTAAAAGTCTACAAATTCAGTAAAATTAATTGCCGAAAGAGGGTGCCTGCAGGCAGTGCATTAATTCCTTCCCCAATGGGATAATATCCATCCACGGGTACTGAATTTGAGGATTTTTACAATTTGATTCAATTTATATTATAAAATCATGAAGATATAATTGCTAAAAAATATAAGAAGAATTGTAATTGAGGACTATACCTTTCCTAAAACATTACAATATCAGACATTTTTTGACAAGGAATATTACCGTTCCACCCAATTGAAGGAGTGGACCATAAAGTATCTTAAAAATAGGTTAAAACCACACAGAAAATCATATTTTCATCATGCTGACTGTAAAACAGCCCTTTTTTCTCCTCTAAATCTTCTGCAAAATCTTTGTTTCCGGGTGTAACTTTACTATCCTATTGGAAAACATTAT